GACAGAGACTTGAGAAACACCCTGGGCAAGGGGTGGTTTGCATGTGTGTATGTACCCCACATCCTGAAAGGACGGAAAAATGGAGAAAAGACTGCAGTGTGGCCATGCCCCATTAGAAGTACTTTCTCCTTCTCCCTGTCTCTCTACCTCTCTCTAGTGTGTATGCCCTTTATCAAATTAAAAAAAGAAAATAAATAAAATTTTTAAATTAAAAAATAATTAAAAAAAAGAGGGACACACACATACATACAGAGAAACTTGCACATACAGGAATAACTATAAGGATGCATGTGAAATTATTAATATACTCAGTTTTTTAAAGAATTTATTTATTTTATTTATTATTACTTTTTAATTTGCTATAGGGCCCATGCACTTACCAGAGAGAGACACAGAGAGAAAGAGAGGGAAAAAGAAAGCAAGAGAGAAAGAGAGAGAAAGCAAAAGCAAGCCACTTAGGTCTGGGACTCGAACCACAGTTGGCCATGTGGGAGTACAACGAGTGCCTTAACCACCATGCCACCTACTGGCCCTAACATAGTTTTTACCATGCAACTCTTTCACCAGGTACTTATCTTTCTTTTTTTTTTCTTTTTTTCTTTTTTTGGAGAGGTTTTTGCTATAGGGCGCATGCACTCGCCAGAAAGACAAAGAGAGACAGAGAGACAGAAAGTGAGAAATCACCCCCTCACCCCCAGGGGATGGCCTCGCCATAATCCCTTCTCCTCCATTCTCCTCTCAGGATCTTGGGCACACACACAAACACACCCAGTGGAGTTTAAGTCACTGGGTCCGGGACTCGAACCGTGGTCGACTACATGGGAGTCCAGCAACATAGCCATGACACTAGCTGCTGGTCCCACCAGGGACTTATCTTTTGAAGAATTAAAAATTAATACTTTTTTTTTTTTCAAAGAATTACTTATTGAGACCAGCAAATGGTGTAATGGTTCCATTGCTGGATTCTCACATGGCCAATCGTGGCTTGAGTCCTGGACCTGGAGACTTGGCATTCATGCTGACTGTGTCCTGTGTGTGTGTGTGTGTGTGTGTGTGTGTGTGTGTGCCAAAAATCCTGAGAGGAGAACAGAGAAGGGAATGTGGCATAGCCATCTCTGCTGGGGGGTTATTTCTCACTTTCTGTCTCTCTCTAACTCTCTGGTGAGCCCAAGAGCCCTACAGCAAAATCTCTCTCAGGGGAAAAAAAAGGAAAAAAATTATTAATTTAATTTAACTTATTATGATTACTTTAAATTTGCTATGGGGCATGTGTGCTTACAAGAGAGAGAAAGAAAACATGACAAAACAAGCCTCCAAGTCTGGGACTCGAACTGCGGTTGGCCATGTGGGAGTCCAGCGCCTTAATCACCACACCACCTGCTGACCCCAAATTTAAAACAACTTAAAAATAATAAAGTCAACCTAAAAATTGAGAGTTCCTTGTGATGATTTAAGAACCAGGGACAAAATTAAAACAGAGATGTCAGAAGCACTTTTCATAAATACTAGGTTGTCTGGTAAGTCATGACATTTTTCTGTTTTTCTGTGCAAAAATGCATCACAACTTTCCCAACAACCTAATATGAAGCAAACAGCATCTTTATGATTTTAAAAATGGTGGTGTTTTAGAGGAATTCCTGATAAACATTTTAAAAAATTGTAAACCAATCATGATAAATCCCAGTAAAGAACTTAGTGTAACTAGAGCGCCCAAGAGTGTATTTCTTTCTTTGGTTAAACCATTTTTTGGGGGGAGTGGGGGAGGTTTTTGCTAGAGGGCACATGCACTTGCCAGAAAGACAGAGAGAGGCAGATAGAAATAGAGAAATCCCCCCCCAGGGGGGATGGCCACGCCGCAATCCCTTCTCCTCCATTCTCCTCTCGGGATCTTAGGCACGCACGCACACACACCAGGCATGAGTTTAAGCCACCAGGTCTGGGACTCGAACCATAGTAGACTACGTGGGAGTCCAGGGACATAGCCATTATTACAATTGCTGGTCCCATGTTATACCATTCACAAAACAAATTCTACTCGGAGGAAGGAAACCATCACAGATAAAGCACCTGTCACATGTAAAGAATTTTACACATTAGTGAATCCTCAAAACAACCTGAACATTTGAAATCATTACCCCTGAGGCTTGGGAGAAATGTCATTTTCCCAAAGAAACTTTGGTAAGGAGACAGACTATGATCCTGGACAGCCTGGCTCCAAAGATTGTGTTGCTTTCAATATATTATGTTGGCTTTATTTTCTAAAATAAAGTAAAATTGAATCAGGAAAAGAAAGAAACTAAATTTTAGAATGTAGGGTCCTATTAACAAGGAAATGTGCTTTTTTATAAGTGGCTTAGAAATGGCCCTCTTCCACTGGACTCTTAATCCTAAATTAATTATTTGTCAGTGACGCAGCATATTTCTCATTTCTCAGGAACCTTGGCATTATCTCTGATTGCTCTGTCTTCCTCTGCTTATATCTAGTCTGTCATTTCATTGTTTTCTCACTTTGAAATGTCTCTCAGATTGGTCCCTTCCTGTACATTTTTGCGACTATCACTGTAAGCCTACGAGCTTCTCTGACTTTAGTTTTTTCAACTCTAAAACATCCTTGCTAGATTAAATTTCCTAAAATACTGCTTTCATTTCATCAACTCTCTACATAAGATCCTACACTGGGTCACTTTGCTTAGCTCAGCAAGTGTAAATTCCTAATGAAGCTTCTTCACAAACTGGTTCCTGTCTGCCAATTCAATTTTACCTCCTGTTTCTCTTCTACACCCACTCTTGACAGGTCAAATTGTTTATTATTTTCTGCATACTTTTGCATCTTTGTTTTTGCTTTTATCCTGGACTGACATCCTCCTCCGAATTCTAGTCATTCTTTTTTTCCTCTACAGGGCCTGTGCACTCACCCGAGAAAGAGCGAGGGAAAGTGAGAAGGCATCCCTGAGGGGGATGGCCATGCTACAATCTCTTCTCCTTCATTCTCCTCTTGGGATTTTGAGCACGCACGCACAGGCATCACGTGTGTTTTTCAAGACTCCAGGTTCGGGACTTGAACTGTGGGGTTGGCCAGCTAACCACCATGCCGCTGGCTGACTGTCTCTTCATTCTTTACCTTCTCTAAGAAACTGTTCCTACTAACCTCTAATCCTGTTATAGTCAACAGCACAATTTTTAAAAAGTATTTATTTAATTTTATTTATTTATTCATTTATTTTAATTTGACCAGAGAGAGAGAGAGAGAGAGAAAGTGAGAAAGCAAGCCACCAGGTCTGGGACTCAAACCACGGTTGGCCATGTGGGAGTGTCCAGCACCTTAACCATTACACCACCTGCTGGTCCCAACAGCACAATTTTGACTTAATTAAATATCTTTTTTTTTTTTTGCTATAGGGTGCGTGTGCTCGCTAGACAGACAGACAGAGACAGAGAGACAGAAAGCGAGAAATCACCCCCTGGGGGGATGGCCACGCCACAATCCCCTCCTACATACTCCGCTTGGGATCTTGGGCATGCACGCACACATGCCTGGCGTGAGTTTAAGCCACCGGGTCCGGGACTCGAACCGCGGTCGACTACGTGGGAGTCCAGCGACATAGCCATTACGTTAACTGCTGGTTCTTTAATTAAATATCGTGAAACATATCTATGGGCTGGGTGGTGGTGTGGAGGTTAAGAGACTGGATCCCACATGGCCAGACACACAGTAGTAGAACTGGCCTGGGCACAATTCATGCTGGGCATGTGCACGTACATGCCTGACATCCCAAGAAAAGACTGGAGAAGAAGGTACTGTAGCATGGCCATCTCCCCTTGTGTCTTTCTCCTCCACTATAGTGTGAGATCTTTGAGGGAAAAGATGATAACATATTTATCTTTGTACTCCTAGATCTTAAGAGCATATAGCAAGCATTCATAGGTTTATGGAATGAAAAGTAGACTTTAATACAAACAAAACAAACAAACAAAAACCTCAATTAACTAATGCAATTTAATATACATTACAGCTGTAAAGTCTTGTTAATGACTCTGTGATAAAAACATTATTATAAAGCTTGAGTATCCATTATCCAAAACACTTGAAACTAAAATTGTTTCTAATTTTGGATTTTTTTTCAGATTTTGAAAATTTTGCATATATATTATGAGATGTCTTGGGCATGGGACTCAAGTCTGAACACGAAATTCACTTTTTTATTAAACTTTTTTCACTCACAGTAGGCAGTGTGCTCACACACAAGGGAGTGAGCGAGAGAGAGAAGCACCCTTGACAAGGTCTGGTCACACTGCGGTCCCCTCTCCCCAGCCTTCCAGGCTGTCAGAACCCTGCGCACTTGCCGGTGTTTCAGGTCCACCTGGCTGGGGATCCCAGTGGTGATCGGCCATGCCTCCTCCAGCACTGCAGTCCAGTCTATACGGATTACACTACCAGGCTGGGCTAAAATTACTTTCCTATTTGTATACATAGCCTAAAGGTAACTGCATACAGTAATTTTGGGTAGTGGTACTTTGACTATGGTCCATTACATGAGGCCAAATATGGAATTTTCCACTTGTGTTATCAGGTTCGAGCACAAAAAGCTTTGGATTTTGAAACATTTCAGATTTTGGGTTTGCGGGGTACTCAATCTGTACCTGATTTACAGATCAGGAAGCTGGCTCAGAGATTAGGCCAACAGCTCCAGGTCACAAAGCCAGTGAGTGGTAAACCAAACACTAAAACCCAGATCTTCTGATTCTAGTCCCGTACTCTTTCAAAAACAGACCAGGCTGCCCTCGTAAATACTCACTTAACTGATTGAACCCTCAAGGACTGCACGTTATAACTCTACTGTGGCTCTTACTGCAAGTCTATCTTAAATAATATTGTGTTCTTCTCTCAACTCCTTGTTAGCAAATGTTCCACGCTGGTGAAGGATTACTTGCCTTTGCAGCTCTTGCTCTGCCTGGCACAGTGCCTTACACATAGTAGGTGGTCACCAAATTAGACTGACCTGGAGAGCACTGGAATGATCATTTTGACAGGCTAGTTCTTGCTCAGTTTCTGAAACCTCTAGCAGATTCCGCTCACTGACCAACCGAGACAGTTCTCCAACCACAGTCACGTGCTTTGATACAGTTCCAGACATTTTCTTAAACTGTGGATAGTTCTCAACAAAGGCCTGTCATGGGGGAAACATCAATGGAAGGTTCTATTATTTTTTTGACTGAGGATAGACATATATGAAGAAGGGAGAAGGGGGGAGAAGGGGAGAGAAGGGGAAAAAAGGGAGAAGAATGAGGAAGGAGAAGGAGGAAGGAGAAGGAAAAAGAAGGAGGGAGGAGGAGGAGGGAAGAAGAGGAGGGAAGGGAAGTGGGGGGAGGAGAAGAAAGCAGAGATCCTTTTTCTGTCTAGACTAAGGCACCTACAACTCTCAATCATGTGGTATTTTGTTATACTTAAGAGAAGAACTGGGGCCAGCAGGTGGTGTGGTGGTTAAGGTCCTGGCCTCCCACATGGCTGACTGCAGTTCAAGTCCCAGACCTGGTGGCTTGCTTTCTCTGTGTCTCTCTCTGGCCAAACTGAAGAATAACAATAATAAATAAAAATCAAGTAAATAAATCTTTAAAAAAAAGAGAGAGAGAGAATTGATATCAGACTGAATCTTTATGGTCCAAATATGACTGAAGAATAGAAAAAAACACAGTTTATGATAAAGTTTTTATTATATTGCTTACTACATATGAATATAACAAAAAATATATTTCAAACCAAATGAAATGAATCAAGGTAGAAATAGGACCCAGAAGATTCCAGAAGTGTTGCTTACATGTATAATTTCAATGTGTTTCACATGCTAGTCATCCATGTACATGTTTGACTTACCTTCATGTCTGCTATTGATTCTAGTTTTTGCTGTTCTTTTGGTTTCTTCTTTTGAAAGTCTTCCATGAGATTCTTTATATTGCTACCAATCTCAGCAAAGTTCAGGTACATATTCTGTGAAAAAGGGAGTAGGAAGCACAGATCATCAACTAGTCTTACTTTCAGTCCATTTAAAAGAAGTGAAAAAGAATCTTGAACACAGAAATGAAGGACAAGAAAATTCCATCCTAATTACCAAACTTGGACATCAGCCAGGACACTGGTGATGAATGCCATTACTATTCTCTCAAAGAGCTACTGGAAGGAAGGGAAGCAAAGACTCTGTGAGCTCAATGAAAAAAGACTGCGACAAGGTCAGAATCCGAGTCTTCTGCCTCCCCTTGAGATGCAGCCCATCTATGGGAGGCCTTCACCATCCTTTCACATGAAATCCCATGCCGGCCCCATTCTCACAAGCTAATAAGGAGCTTCTTACACGAAACAACTACAAAGCAATTTTTTAAAAAATCCACCTACATTAGCATAGAACTCATCATTTTCAGCAGACAGGACCACCTCTCTTAAGTCTTTACTGATTCCCGGCACTCTGGAGAGATTGATGTGATTGTTGTTTATACCTAGTAGTTCGTGGACCATGGCCTGGTACGTCCACTAAATAAAGAATCATGACCAAAAAAAAAAAAAAAATCAGTAAAAAGACAAAACATGGAAATAGTAAATGTATAGGAAAACACATAAAAATTGGTTATGTTCTTAGCAACTAGTTTTTACATGAAGATTCTCTATTTAGTTCAAATCTTATTAATATTACTGCTATAATAAGCAATATGATTGTCATTAATTGGTTAAACACCCAAAAGTCAAAATACTTTTAGATTTTACACTTTTGGAACAAAGGCAGTAAGATTAATATTCTTGATAGAAAGAAAACAAATTAGATCTATCATTAGCTCCAGTTTTTGACTGTGAATTAAGGGTATATTTTTGGCTTCACAGATAGGGCTATATTGGTACTGCAGTTACAAGCTGTACCATTTCCTGTACGCTTCTGTGGTTTTCTGCAGCATGAGACGTGTGTGCTTGCAGATCTGAGTGGAGCTATATTTATCCTGGGAACACTAATATTATCAGAAAAAAAAAAAACCCTTGTGAATTGATCAAAACATTGGCATATTCAGAAACTTGCCTCTGAATTCACTTTATTTAAAATTTTGACCTTATAGATGAATTGTGAAGAAGGACTGGTCACCAATCTTACAAAATGTGAATTTATTTGGTAAAACTAGAAAGAAGAAACCCCACAATTTTGCCTTCTCACCATTTAAGGAGTAGATCAGCTTTAGTCATAGGCTTGTTAGACTAAACTAAGTATTTTCCAGCAAATTACTTTCTAAATCTAGGATGTAAATGCTAGAAATATTTATATGCATAATTTATCTTAAGCAAACTAGATTAGTAAATAATTTAAGAGGTTATAAAAGAAGGTACTTTAGGAGCCGGCAGGTGGCATGGTGGTTAAGGCTCTGGATTCCCACATGGTCAACTGCTTGGTTCGAGTCCAGGGCCCAGCAGACTGAAAATCATGCTGGGCATGTGTGTGTGTGTGTGTGTGTGTGTGTGTGTGTGTGTGTATCCCCAAAACCCAAGAGGAGAGTGGAGGATAAAGGATTGTGGTGTGGCCATCCCCCCTGGGTAGTGATTTCTCACTTTCTCTCTCTC